TTAGGTCCAGCTTATTTGCAGGAGTGTCTTCTTCCATACAATCCACCCCGCACACTCAAGTCCTCTGGGAGCAACTTATTACAGCCAAAGAAAACCAGGCTTGCTGCAGTTACCTAAAGGACCTTCTCATTGGCCGCTCCTAAACTTTGGAACGATCCATCATATTACAACTCTTGATGCCTTCAAGAAGGGTATCAAGATGGATCTCTTCTGGCGGGCATTCCCAGATTGATAGATGGACTCTCCCATTGTCCCATAACTGTGGTTGCTTTACTCATCCCACAATGCCTCATTTTAATGAAGGTTAATTTTAGACTGATTTTAGTAAATTGACTGTATTTTATGATGTTTTCTGTTTTAATCGGGGGTTGGGGAATTATGTTTATTTAATGTCATTGTGATATTTTATTATTGTTATCCACCTCGATCCTTCTGGGAGAGGAGGCAGGCTATAAATTAATAATAATAATAATAATAATAATAATAATAATAATAATAATAATAATAATAATAATAATTTGTAATTGCCAGGGAGCAACAATGGGGGAAGGACTCTTGTTTTTATGCCTTCTTTGTGGGCTTCCGAGAGGCATCTGACTATTTATTGTGGGGAAGTGGTATGCCATATAATGCTTTCTGAGTCAGCTAGAGTTCTTACAAATGTTTTATTAGTAAAGCAGTAGCAACAATGCTGTTCCCTGGTAGCCTTTAAGTTCATCAAGATCTAGGTGTGCAGAAAACCTTCCACACAGCATAGGAAGTACAAGTAATTATTTGTTGGCTCTCTTCTATGTCCTGCTGATGTACAGTAACAAACCCCAAACCTCTAGACCAGGGGTAGGCAACCTTTTTGAGCCAGGGCCGGTCCTGCGAAGTCCTTTCCCCCGCTGGGCCAAGGGGGGGGGAATGGCGAATGGTAAACACTCTCAGAAGTAGCTAACAGCAGCAGAGTATGGAAGCACCAGTTGAGTTTAAGTATTGGCAATGCACTGACCACTTGAATAAACTCACAGACACTTGTTGATATCTACCAAGCCTTTGGGGGTTCTTTATCTTAAATTGCAAAATATATAGATATGTACAAACGCTCCTCACGACTCCTTTCAACATTCACTGTATGCAGTTCAGCAATCCAATCATCAAACCTTGAACCCACTATCTTCATCAAGCCACATATGCACTGAGTCTCAGTACACTTATATACAGAATTGGCTAAGGGTCATCATCTGTTGCCACTTAGCATGATGCAATCTATTGCAAGCCTTTGCATCATGTCAAGTGTTGTGACTTACTAACTTCAGCCATACAAAATATTTTTACAACTGTTTCAAGGAACCTTGTTCCAACACTATATTTTATAGTTTCTATAATAAAAAAGAAAAATGCAGTGTTAGCTATTATTTGACAAGTGTACACTGTGTTCTTGATACCCAACCATCATTGGATTATCTTTTAGGTGAAGAAAGAGTATAAAATGCTATACTTTTAAAACAACAAATATACAAAAAATATCTTAATCAATGCTATTTATTGACTTCCAGACCATGTTTGCACAATTCCAACACAGTCGAGAAAAAGCACTCCCATCAAATAATATGAGGCATGCCTTAGCTGAAAGCTTTAAAGATGAGCAACGATTTCAACTTGGCTTTATGGATGATGCAGCAGAATGTTTTGTAAGTTTTTTTCTGTGGTGCGCCTTCAAGATATTTCTGATTATGGCGACTCTAAGTTATCATGGAGTTTTCTTGGCGAGATTTGTTCAGGGGACATTTGCTAGTTCCTCCCCCTGAGGCTGAGAGCATGTGAATTGCCCTGGTTACCCCATGGGTTTCAAGTACCTTAATGTAATTATGTTTTAATTTTTTTTTAATTTGTAGCCATTATGATGAATGGACTAGCTAAAAGAGAGAATTATATCTATAAACATCTTGTTCTGGCTCACTGGTGTAGTGTTCTAGGTTACAGTGTTACAGGCTCTGTTTTTACTGAAAAGACAAACGCATATACAAACTATAATTCTTTAAGCCATTATTTACTGACAGATACTTGACATTAGGTGGGATGATCTCAGTTCATTTGCTCTGAAAATTGTAATGTGTTCTATATGGGGGGGATGTTCGGGTTAGTTTGCTCTTAGCTTTTTGCCTTATGACCTGGAGGGGGTGCTGACACTCTGATATGGGCATCAGATGTAGAACAAGGGAGCAACTGGAAGATCCTGATATGAAATCTTGCACTTGCAGAAACTAAAACTTTTTTCCAAAAGTGCTTGAAAGCAACTTTTATTTATTATAATTTTTGTTTGTAAGCTACCTTGAAGACCTGAAAGGAAGAATATAAATCTTCTAAAATGTAACTTTCTTTCATTTAGGAAAATATCCTTGAAAGAATTCACTTTCATATAGTGCCAAGCAATGAAACAGATATGTGTACATCTAAATCTTGCATTACCCATCAGAAGTTTGCTATGACATTATATGAACAGGTAAGATAATGTGCATATTACTTTATTATATTGAAGATATTTTAAAAAGCTGTAAGAACTAAAACTTTTTTTTTTAATTTATAGTGTGTATGTCGCAGTTGCGGGGCATCTTCAGATCCTTTGCCTTTCACAGAATTTGTGCGTTACATTTCAACTAAAGCCTTGTGGTAAGAGTTATTGCTTTGTTTTCTTACTTTTTGTGTTGTCTTTGTGACTTTTTCTTTGGCTTAATAAAAGTACTACCACAAAACCAGTTTGGAAGTTTCTTCTCCACACATTCTCATGACATGAGAATTGTGAATTTTGAGTTAATAATGACCTGAATTTACAGGTATGGCAGGATCTAATAGGGAACCTCTATTGACAGAACGACTTCTGTCAGTGGAACTGGAAGCAGGGGCTTCTTTTGCCCACTACAGTGTCCATGCACCCCCAAAACCTACAGTGCAGGGTTTACTGAAGCCAGTTTTTAGGCAGTACAAAATGCCAGTGTCACATTGAGTGTAAGTTTGTATATGGAATATTCCTCGCTTGATAAATGATCTGGTTAACTCTTTATCATATTATTGAACCATAGATATCTGAAAAATGTTCAAGGAAATTATTTTATTTCATTTTTATTTTATCTTATTCTTTATCTCACCATTTCTCTGACATAAGATCCAAGGCAACTTAAAACAAAATACAAATTAAAGCCTAATTATAGCTTTTTAAAAATCAATAAATTGGCACTCTTA